GGGGGGGGGGGCCCTTACTGTCTTTCCAGGCCTGTGTACGAACTTTCCATGAGACACCCCTCCAGTTGCTGGAAAAGATCAAGAATGTCTTTAATGAAACAAAGAATCTCCTTAAAAAGGACTGGAACGTTTTCAGCAAGAACTGCAACAAGAGCTTTGAGAAATGCTCCAGCCAAGGTAAGCACCAAAAGGGCCAGCAAGTGTGGGTCAAGGGGAGGGTGTAAGGAACAGAGCAGGGATTGGGAGGTGAGGGGCGGGCTGGAGGGACCCTGGGCAGGCAGCCTGGCTGCGACGCGAGCTCCTGTGTGTGTAGATGTGCTTTTCTCGTGTTCATATGTGGCTTCACGTACCTCTGGGTGGTCCGGGCACATGTCTTTTCTGACATGTGTGTGCATGTTGAGACATCGAGAAGGATCATGCTGGTGGCTGTGAGATCAGGGAATGGGCAAGGGGCCCCTCTCGGAGGGCCCTGTAGGCTTGGAGGCTTTCCCTACCGGCTCTGCAGGCTGGCTGAACGCACAGGGGGTTCCGTGGAGAGAGCAAGGCTCCATCTGGGAGCCAGGGCCCTTGCACCAGGAGCCCTGCAGTGAATCACCAGGATACCCTGGCTCCAGAAGTCCCCAGGATGCCTTGAATGTCCCCTCAAGGGAAAAGGCTGGATTTGAAGGCTGAGCATCACTCAAACTCTCCCAGTGCAGGCCCAGCTGCACACGCGTGTATCCTACGTGGCCTCGTCTCTGCGTCCTGTGCCACGTGTGCCCTCCTACATTCAACCTTGCTCCCCGAGGCAGGAGCTGAGGCCCCGCGACCTGCCAATGGCCAAGTCCAATCTCGTTGCTTCAATCCCAAGGCCTCAAGTCTTGGCCACATTCCAGCCCCAGTTTGTTCCCGCCTGTGGCTGTGGCTGTGTGGCCCCTGGCTGTGCATGAAACCACCTTGCTGCTTTCCAACCAGCACTGTCTATGGGACCTGAGGGTGTCTTGTGTTAGTCTTGGAGGCCGCTGCTCAACCACCTGGCCAGCTGCTGCTCAATCGTGGCTTGGCACCTTGCCAGCTGGAACTCCAGGAAAAGCTGTCCCCTGGTCTTCCCTGACCCTGGCCCCCAGTCTGTCCTCTAAACCCCACTCTTTGCTTTCTGCCTTTGAGACCCTGCAGCTTGTACCTTCCTTGCCTAAGGCCTGTGTCATGAGCACTGGCTCCAGTCCTGTCCTTTCCTCAGCCCCTAGCTGAGGGATTAGGGGATGAGGGACCCTGGACCCATATCCCCCTCTCAACCCCCCCCCCCCCCCCCCCCCCGCCCCGGGAAACCTGTGCTGGAGGCTGGTGACTCTATCTCTTCCCCCCCATCTTTCTCTCTCCCTCTCTCTGTGGTTCTTTCAGATGTGGTGACCAAGCCTGATTGCAACTGCCTGTACCCCAAAGCCACCCCTACCAGTGACCTGGCCTCTGTCTCCCCTCAGCAGCCCCTTGCCCCCTCCACGGCCCCCATGGCTGGCTTGACCCGGGCTGACTCTGAGGGGACAGAGGGCGGCTCCCTCTTGCCCAGTGAGCTGCCCCTCCGCACAGTGGACCTGGACCCGGGCACTGCCAAGCAGCGACCACCCAGGAGCACCTGCCAGAGCTTTGACTCTCCAGAGCCTCCGGGTGTAGAGGCCAGTCCTATCGGAGACTCACCTCAGCCCCAGTCCTCTGCCGGGGCCCCCACCCCTGGGATGGAGCACATTCTTGACTCTGTGTTAGGCACTAACTGGACCCTAGAAGAGGCCTCCGGAGAGGCTAGTGAGGGTCCCGTACCCCAAGGGGCAGAGCTTTCCTCCTCCAGGCCGGGAGGAGGCAGCATCCAGGCCAAGATGACCGCCAGGCCCAGTGACCTCTTGTCAGCATCTTTTCCATTGTCCTACTCAGCCAGGAGCCAGCAGCCAGAGGACATGACTAGCATACCCCTGCCCACGGTGGGCCCTGCGAGACCCACTGGCCAGGCCCAGAGTCATACACCTGAGAAGACAGACCGTCCATCTGCCAAGCCCAGAGACCACCAGGAGCCAGGCTCTGCCAGGACCCCGTCGCGGCCCCCACGAAGCCTCAGCAGTCTCAGGACCCCGTCACGGCCTCCACGAAGCCCCGGCAGTCCCTCGGCCCTCTCTGCACAGCCAGGTCTTCCCGGAAGCCACTCCTGGGGCCATGTGCTGCCCCTCAGGGAGTTGGAGGGCAGAAGGAGCACCAGGGATCGGAGGAGCCCCACAGAGCTGGAAGGACAAGCAAGTGAGGGGCACAGGCCCTCAGCCCGCTTTAATTCCGTTCCTTTGACTGACACAGGCCATGACAGGCAGCAGGAGGGACCCTCAGACCCTCAGCTCCCCGGGTTTGTCTTCCGCCTGCTGGTGCCCAGCATCATCCTGGTCCTGCTGGCCGTCGGCGGCCTCCTGTTCTACAGGCAGAGACGGCGGGTAAGGACAGCCCCTGTGAGAGGAGGGCATCCCGTGGGGGCGGTGGCACAGCCTGGGTGGGGGAGCAGGTCGAGCGGGTCAGAGGATTACTTGGGCTCCGCCTGGGTTCTTCAGATGCCAAGACAGGAGGCCAGCTGAGCACAGAAGATGGCAGGTTGAAGTGGGGGGTCTATTAAAAAACAGGGGGCACCCAGGCTATAAAGTCAATGGGAAGGGACCAGGAGAGGACATTCTTGGGCCGAGAGTGGGAAGAGAACCCGGCCATGAGGGGAGCTAGGAGAGGAAAGTGATGCTGCATGGAGGTCAGGGCAGCGTTTGCTGGGAGCTCTGTGGGGCCCCGGGCCCCGGGACCCCGGGGATAGGAGGCAGCCTGCATGGGGAGAGGAGATGGGGCGTCACCAGCAGCGAGGCCCCAGGGAGCCCTCCTGGCCCCACGGCTGACCCCCACATTAGGGTAGCCGGGGGAGACTTTGATAACTCTCTCATCTACTCCTCTGGGCACCCCCTGCCTGGGGGTGAGGCCACAGTCCCCACACCATTCCCCAGCTCCTCAGGGAGCCTGATCTTTACTGTCTGTCCCCAGAGCCATCGAGAGCCTCAGACAGTGGATTCTCCCATGGAGCGACCAGAGGGCAGGTGAGAGTTTGCAGGAGGTGGGGGTGCTCTGGAAGGCACAGGGGGGCCTGTCTTGGCATCTGTTTCCCCTCCAGAGTTGAGGGAGACTTCCTTTCACTTGCTCTGAGGAAGTGGAGCCCAGAACAGGATGGGAGGCAGAGAGGAGGAAGGGCGTTTCTTCTCTCCTGTATCTCTGGGACTTTTCCTGATTTCTCCTTAGGGCTAGGCAGTTCTGAGTCTTCTAAGTCTGAGAGGGCTGGAGCACATGTGCAGGGGTTTGGTGGACAAACTTAAGGGGCTCCCTCACTCCTCAGCCTCTGCTGAAGTCTTATGCCAGCCCTATGCTCTGCCCACAGCCCCCTGACCCAGGATGAGGACAGACAGGTGGAGCTCCCAGTATAGAGGGGTTTCTAAGGTAAGATTCTGATTTGGATCTCTCTCCACCCCTTAAAATTAGCTACCCTCTTTTCTAATCACCCTACATTTCTAATCACCAACCCACACCTGACTCCCTCCCCTCCTGCTCTCTTTTCCATCCGTCCCCATATCCTGCCAACTGTCTCCTTTCGAGATCCTCAAGAAGCCGCACGGCCCCTGCATTCCCCCCACCCCCACCATCGGAGGCTAGGCCCTGTGGCCTGTACATCGGCTTATTATTTCTATATTTGGCTTCTAGTCTTTGCTGCCACCTTCCATCCCAGAGCAACCAAAATCTTCTTGTACGTGGTCTTTACCCTCCCGGGGAATTTGCACCGCCAACCACTTCAAACCCAACGTTCTCAGCTTGGCACCTCTTGCCAGGTTTCTATCTGTCTGCAACCTATTTGACCCTTCTCCGCAGCCGAGATCGTTTCTATGTCCCTGCTTTTAGATTCATGGACCCCCAGAACCTTAGTCTTAGAAAGGCTCTCGGAGGTCATTTGGCCAGTGTCCCACCCGACAGAGGCCTCCCCTTTCTGCATCCCCAACAGGGGGTCAGCCAGCTGCTGGTCCCATATTCCCAGTCCCAGGCAAGCTCCCTGCCATCTCCCAGGAGCGCCTCGAGGAAATCCTGCCTCGAGTGAGCTTCCCTGCCTGCTCCACGATGGTCCTCCCTCCTGTTCTCACGAGAGCCCTCCCAGTGTCTCAAGTCAGTTATCCAGGCCCCCTTTAAGAATTCTGTAAGCTAAGTGTGGCACAAGTCCCTCAAACATTCCTCGTATGATAGGGTTTTCAGACCCCTCACCATCCTGGTTGCCCTACTTTGGACACACTCGTTTGTCAATGTCCCTCTGAAAATGTGGCACCCAGCCCTGGACACAGTGCTCCAGATGTTGTCTGACCAGCTCAAAGTACAGTGGGACTGTTAACCTTCCTTGATCTGGACACTTCTTTTCGCGCAGATTCAGATTGCATTAGTGTTTCTGCCCATCACCAGTGCCCACTGAAATCGTTTCAAGTCCTAATGCTGTCTTCATAGTCCTCCCAAATGTGTCTCCTGCACACTGATGAGCGCCTCCTATTGTCCTCGCCCACACTGTTGGTAAAGATGTGACCCTTATCCTTCCTCACCCCTGGCTCCCCGATTCCAGGCAGCGCCCTCACCTCCCGTTCTTCCTGATTGTCTCCACCGCCCGCTGACTGCTCTTCAGGTCCTCCCCCTCCGCTCTTTGGTATTTGGTTAATCCTGTATCAATTGGCACTTACTTGGATGTTGTTTTCATACACTTTGAAATCTTATTTTATGTGTACATGTACGTTCCGCATCCCTAAGAAGGCTGTAAGCCCCTTGAGGGCAGGGACTGTGTCTTCCACTTTCTTTGCATTTCTTTTTCTACTACAGCGAGGGCTTCTCCACATCTGCCAAGAACTCAATAAATAACTGACTGGCTTCACGGTTGACTGACCGCCTGACCCTGGCCAGGCTCTAACCGACCAGCCTTCTGGATGACCGGTTAACCAGCTAACTAATCAACTCTGGCTGCCTGGCTGACCAGCTGGCTAGGTGACTTTGACTGATCGACTGACTAGCTGGGAACTGCTTAAACTGAGCTGCCTGCCTAACTAACTAGCTGGCGAATGGCCTGACTTGCTGATTGGCTCGCTGGCTGGCTAGCTAGGGTAACCCATTCAATTTTCCAGTCACACCCCATGGCACGTACACGTGAGCGCCTTAGGACCTTCCCATGGGTACAGTGACAGGTCTGGGCCACTCCTCGCAGAAAAGGAATCTAAGGAATACTCAGAATCGAGGGAGCCTATTTAGAAGAGAGCACGAGGGAGCGTATCTGGAATCCTGGGGTCCCCCCTTCTCGGCGGGGTGGGCTAAGATGGGTGAGTGGGTCAGGTGGGACACTGGCAGGGCTGTGAGGATGACCCAGACTCCCTTGAGACTGGTAAAGCAGAGGAGGGATCAAGGTCCCTGGGGACTCCGTGGCTCAGTGCTGCACCACCCTCTGACTGGTTGCCAGCCTCCCCCCTTGGTCTTGGCCCTCCGCCCCATCTCTTCTACACCCCTGCTCTGCTTTCCCTGCCTCCCTGTTCTCAGGCCCTGCCCAACTTTCCTCTTCCTCCCCTCTAGATTTCACTTAGAAAGGGAATCCAGGGCAGGGACCACACCCCAGATTCCTAATCCCACCACTTGGATCAGTAGGTCCAGCCTAAGCCCCAGGAGCCTCAGGAGATCCAGGGCGAGCCCCTAGCCTACTTGCCACTCTGACGAGAGAGAGAAAACACAGAGGCAGAGAGACAGATAGACGGATGCTCAGAAGAAGACACAGGCACTCTAAGGAATCAGGGCATACGGGCAGCGGACTCACCCACTTGGTCCTTCTTCCCTCCTAGCCCCAGCCAGGTCTGAGACCCCGCTGTGCCCAGCATGGCTCATGTCCAATTTCTGGTTCTCCCCTCTTCCCCCTCCACAGCACGGGAATGGGCTGGAAGCCAGAAGCTATGGTCCCATCTGCCCTCCTTGTCTGTCACGGACTTTGCCATCGGGTCTGTGGATGGTCAGGGAGGGAAGCCCCACACAGGATCCCAAGTTGGATGGAGCCCAGGGGATTTCTGCTCCGGGAACAAAGCATTCTGAGCATGCTGGGCAAGGGACAAGGATGGGGGTGGGGTTGGAGAGAGCAAGGCCCTGACTCCCATGGATGATCCAGGGAGGCAAGTCCCTTGGCCCATCAGGAAGGAGGCGGGGTTACTTAGGGGATAGCACGCCAAGTGGCAGGGTGGAAGTTTCCTTGTTCCGAAACTGCCTCTACTTCTTCCTGTTGGTTACCTATGACCTGCTGTCCCGAGTATCGAGTAACGTGCGCGATGACCGTCTGTGATGAATGGTGTGGAGGTGGGAATGAGAAATTCTTCTTTGCTAGAGTTAGCAGGAATCGTTGGTTCATTGGCCCAAGGCCAGGGAGGTGGTCTTGCCCGAGGGGAAGTCTAAGGACACTCAAGTGCCCCCCCCCACCTCCCTGTTAGACTCCTCCACTTGAGCAGCTGCCAACCCCCTCTCCTGGCCCTGCTCAGGCCTCTACCCGGCCCCGTTACCTCCCCCTGCGGTCCCTACTTCCCCAGGAGGAGGTAGGAGGTGAGGCCAGTCTGGCCAGAGGCTTGGACTGCTGCCAGGAAAAGCCGCCTGGTCCTTTGTGGTGTCTGGGGTGGCTGGGAAGGCGAGGGAGAGGACCAGAGGAAGTCCTGCCTGTAGCACCACCGACAGCCCACAGGAACGCTGTCTCCCCCACCCATGTCCTCAGCGACCCCTCCCTCCACTCCCACTCGGCTGACCAGCCTTTCTTTCTCTCCCTTACAGCTGGGCGCACAGGACAGTCTCTCCATGGGACGAGACATCATGGGGGCGTCCACCACCACCCCTCCCCAGCCATTCTCCTCGCAATGTGGCCTGCCCACCACGAGAGCTCCTGACCAGAGCAGCGAGGCTGGAGTCCCTCTGCCCTCGACCCTCAGACTCCGGACTGACCAGGAGAGGGCTGGAGGTTGCCCTCCACGCTGCTGATATTTATCGTGGGCCCTGGCGGCTCCCATCCACCGGAGGAAGGCTGGGAAGCTCGGCTGAGGACCCTCGGCGCCTCAGGGGCTGTGTTCTCCTCCTACTCCCCTCCAAGCCACACCTGGGCCAGGGACCCAGATGCCTGTAGGACGTGGGAGAGCAGGGTGGGCACCGAGGAATGAAAGAGCCCTTTGCCCAGAGGACCGCCTGGTGCCTAGGGATGATGCCAGCACCGACAAGCAGGGACTTGTCTCCAGCGAGAGAAGCATGAGATTGGCAGGGCGGGACAGCGTCAGCTGGATTTCCCGTAAAGGTGTGCGGCCCAAAAGACGGGAAGAGAAGGCCTCTGGGCCTGTTGGTCTGCACTGACAGCCTGGAGCGTGTCTGCACCCTCCGCTTGCCCAAGTGCCCTCTGCTGGTTGCCAGACAGAGAGGAGAGGTCAGCCCTGCCCTCGGGACCTGTCTGGCTTGGCTCCAATGCCAAGGGGAAGGCCAGGCTCTGGGATCTGCCCCACTTTCCCTCCAGCCCTGCCAGAGCTTCTCCGGGAGGCTGCGCAGAGGCTCCCCTCATGAAGGAAGCCATTGCACTGTGAATACTGAACCTGCCTGCTGAACAGCCTGCCCCGTCCATCCCTGTGAGCGAACATCTGTCCGGCCTCCTGCCCCTCCAGCCTCTGGCCAGCTTCCTGCACTGAGTGCCCGAGCCGGCCTTGCCTGTCGACTGAGGGAGCCCCTAAGCCCTGACCTTCTGCTGACCCAGGCTTCGACTCCCCAGGGTGGATGGGGTGGGAGAACTGCCTGGGCTGCCAGCCAGAGCTGGTCTTTAGGCTGCGTCGTTCGCCCAGGTTTCTGCATCTTGCACTTTGACATTCCCAGGAGGGAAGTGACTGTGGGAGGGCGGGCAGGGAGGGCAGAGGCAGACCCAGAAGGAGGCTGCGGGGTGAACTCTGACTGAAAATGGGTCTTTGCAATTATGGGTATACCGCTGAGGCGGGGGGAGGCGTCTGCACCCTGACCCTCCAGCCCAAGTCTCCTTCCCTGCACCAGGCCCCGCCCCCCTCACAGCAGCAGGGCAGTGCTGGCAGGCACCCCGGTTGTCCCCGTGGAAGCCCTGAGGCTGGCCTTGCTCTCCAGCATCTCAGCGCGGCACCCGGCTCCCATTCTCATCCCCCCCTCTCTTCCCCCACCTGGGAAGCTCTCACCCCTACACTGTCTCTCTGGCCGGGCCAGCCGGGGTGGGAGAGGGACCGGGTATCTGCTTCCAATTCTGTCTTGAGGGCTTCAGCTTCCTGGGCCAGCCTGTGGCCACTGTTCGGAGAACTGGCAGCAGGTGACAGGGCTGCTGATTGCCCTTGGTCTCTTTGTGCTGCTGCAATCCCTCCTCTCTGCTGCCCTGGGCCCTCCGCCGAGAGATCCC